CATGTTAGCATCATGGTTGTGCTACCAGTGTGGTCCTGTTAGCAGTACGTTACTGTTAGCAGTGTTGTCCTGTTAGCAGTGTGGTCCTGTTAGCAGCATGGTCCTGTTAGCAGTGAGGTCCTGTTAGCAGTGTGGTCCTGTTAGCAGCATGGTCATGTTAGTATCATGGTTGTGCTACCAGTGTGGTCCTGTTAGCAGTATGTTACTGTTACCTGTGTGGTCCTGTTAGCAGCATGGTCCTGGTAGCAGTGTGGTCCTGTTAGCAGTGTGGTCCTGTTAGCAGCATGGTCCTGTTAGCAGTGTTGTCCTGTTAGCAGTGTGGTCCTGTTAGCAGTGTGGTCCTGTTAGCAGCGTGGTCATGTTAGCATCATGGTTGTGCTACCAGTGTGGTCCTGTTAGCAGTATGTTACTGTTACCTTTGTGGTCCTGTTAGCAGCATGGTCCTGGTAGCAGTGTGGTCCTGTTACCAGTGTGGTCCTATTAGCAGCATGGTCCTGTTAGCAGCATGGTCCTGTTAACTGCATGGTCCAGTTAGCAGCATGATTCTGTTAGGGTTGAAGAGCCTCAGACAAGCAGTTGCTCACTGAAATAAATCCGACCTCAGTGTGTTCCTGTAAAGAAATATTTCTAAATAAAGTAAAATGTTTTTAAAAATATAACATTTACAGAAACCAAAAGTCCTTGCACCAATCAGCTGCATGAGACAAACATTTTAAATTATGAACGGCTGAAATAACAGAAAGCCGAAGTTGTTAGATTAAAACCCAGCAGAAAAAAAACAACTACTATAAACAAGAAAACTAAATGCTGAGTCAGCATTCAGATTATTAAAAGACACCTGGGATTAAAGACAAGGAAGAAGTTCTGGCTCTGAAGAGAAACCCACTCTGTGCTGTTAAACCTCATGGCCCGGTTCGTCTGTGGAGTCAGAACCGTCTGAGATCTGCCATGGTCCCAGAGGACCATTCAATTTTCAGCTCTTTAAAGATCCACACTGACAGCTGATCGATACACACGGCAGATCCAAAACCCTCCTGGGCCCAGACCAGGACCTGCTGCAGGTCCATGTTCTGCTGTAGGTCAAGGTTCTGCTGCTGATCTAGGTTCTGTGTCTCTGCAGATGTCCAACTACAAGCGAGCAACATTTGAGGAGGAGGAGGGCTCAGATGCTCCGGCTGAGGTGGCCTCATCTCCCGACAGAATGGAGGTCAGTGAACGCAGCACACACACACACACAGGCTGTGAGTGGTTCCAGGTGGACTCAGTCCTCTGAGGGGCCCCTCGGTGTGGGACCACCGACACAGGAGCAGCAGGAGGTCTGGGGTTCTGCCAGGTTCTGAACGGTTCTGGGAACAGACTGTCTGGAGGATTCTGGTTCCGAACCATGGACCAGATTTAACCTCATCTTTAAACCCGTCTGAGCCCAGCTGATCCGGATCCATCAGGAGGTTCTGTACAGGTTCAGTCAGAGAGAGGATGGGTTCTGTTTGTTCATAGTTTTTATTTTTTACACCAGTTCTGTTTGCGGTTTCCACCGGATCAGAATCATCTGGTTATGTGGTTCTGGTCCAGTTTCTTGTCCTCTGGATTCAGGTCCAAACTGACAAATTAAAAAAAAAAGTTCTGAGCAAAATAAATTTTTAATCAGTCTTTTTACTGATTTTTTTTTTTTACACCAGTTCTGTTTGTGGTTTCCACTTGATCAGAACCATCAGTCCAACTGGTCCTCAGATCCTGAATCTGGTTCCTGTGGCACCAGAGAAAACCAGAAACTGATCTCAGGTGAGAAACACCAACAAGCCGCACCTGAAGCACAGACCTGATGACATCATCGGTGGGCGTGGTTTATTTAAAGAGTTTGTCTGCTGCTGCTCGCCTTCATCAGTAGTGGTTCTGTTCTGCAAGTAAAAATTCACTGAGATCAGCCTTTTGTTTGGATGTGGACCGGGTCGCACTCAGAACCTGTGGTTTTACCTGACTGACACGAAGGTTGTGTTTCTGCCATAAAAAAGTTTGAGTGTGAACAGCAAACATGAAGGTTCTGACCCGCATCTGGTGGTTTTGGGTCTAAAAACAGGAACTAAATATCTGTTGGTTTAAAAGGTTCCTGCTCAACTTCAGGAAGTTCTGACCCGTTTCATTTGGACCCATGGTTGTATAGCTGCCTTCTTAGAACCACCTTCAGGTTCTGTTTGTGATCCACACCCTTATGTTGGTTCTGGTGTCAGTTTTACAAGCGGACTCTGATCAGAATCCACAACTAAACACAGAACCCAGAAACAAGGAAGACCTGAAATGTTGGATGAACTTTAAATTGTTGAATGGTTAGATGTTTGGTTGGATGAATGGTTAGTTTTGGTTGGATGAACTCTGGTCGGATGTTTGGTTGGATGAACTCTGTCTGATGAGTGGTTGGATGAACTTTGTCTGGTTAAATGTTTGGTTGGATTAACTCTGTCTGGTTGGATGTTTGGTTGGATAAACTGTCTGGTTGGATGTTTAGCTAGAAGAACTTTGTCTGGTTAAATGTTTGGTTGGATGAATTCTGTTGGGTTGCATGAACTCTGTCTGGTTGGATGTTTAGTTGGATTAACTCTGTCTGATTGGATGAACTCTAGTTGGTTGTTTGGTTGGATGAACTCTGGTTGAAGGTTTGGTTGGATGAACTCTGTCTGATTGGATGTTTGGTTGGATGAACTGACTGTTGGGATGTTTGGTTGGATGAACTCTGTCTGGTTGGATGAACTCTGGTTGGTTATCTGGTTGGATGAATGGTTGGATGTGTAAACTCTAGGTGAGGTGCTCCTCTGTTCTCCTCAGGTGGGCTTCAGGAAAGGGGGCGTGGATATCCTGGGCAGGAGGACTCAGTTGGAGGTTCTGCTCTCAGTCCTGCTGCTGGTCTCCCTGCTGGCGCTGCTCGCCTGCCTGGTGGTTCTGGGACTCGGATTCAGTTCAGGTACTATATGAGAACTTCTGTCCTGTCCTCCGTCTTTCAGGTTCTTCTTTACATCTGTGATTGTTTCTGATGTTTTTATTTCCCTCATCGCATCTCCTTCATTTTTTATCCTTGTCAGTCCTTGTCTCCTCTCCGTCCTTGTTTGTCTCCTCTCCGTCCTTGTTTGTCTCCTCTGTCCTTGTTTGTCTCCTCTGTCATTGTTTGTC